AAGCTAAGCTGCAAATGTTGATGAAATGAGGCTGCCATGAACAGAAAATTAAATACAAATGCAAATGCAAATGAAAGTCTCCAAAGAGGCTGCAGAGCTGCCAAGAGGCAGCAGAGCAGCAAAGAGACTGCAAAGGACGCAGGCATGCAGCAGCAAAAGTGGCTGTTACTCATTTCAAAATTCAAATGTATATTTATTGTTTTTTAATGTAAAATAGTTGTTTGATTTTTGAATTTTAAATTGAGCTTGTATTCTCCTATAAATAGGAGTAAAAGGAATGAGAAAAACTGAGTTGGAGTCATATACTCCTCTCCATTTCAGCTTATGCCCTGTTTTTTATCTTCCTCTCGGTTCTCTCCATTTCTTTGTTTTAAAAAACCCAACACATGTTCCTCTCTTCAAAAATGTCTGCTGCTCGAAGGATATTGGATACCTCACCATCTCGATATTCCTAGACTACTCTTACTCTCTGCAAGAACTAGATGAGCACAAACTGAAAGGGTCTGTACCGATCAGGATCGATGTTCCAGCTCTATGCCATATATATACAAGGAGCTGAAAACAAGTTTCGAGGAACCTCTAATTATTCCTAAATTTATCAAAGGGAATTCTCTGCTTGTTTCCGCAGAGCATTACGTTAGAAATTAACTTCCGTTAATTATTCTTTTCTATGCAAGTTGCGATTTTTCAAAATTAAAATACAAGAAAAAAGGCATACAAAACCAAGAATATTCCGACGTATTCCTCCATTATATATTCTTACTTATTTCTGATATGGAATTGTATATATATAATATAGTCAGTCATATACGGCAGCAAACATGTGCAAAATGTGAATGCAGTTCTGAAGTCTCCAGGAAATTAAGGAAGGTTATACTTATAACATGGGCTTATTTAATTTAATTAATTAGATTTTTTTTTTTTTTTTGAGAATTTTAGAATTAGCATGCATGGACGGCCGTACGTCCTTGGATTTGGGAAAGAATATAATAGGAGACCCACATAATTGGGGTTATGTTCTGTGTCCTCTACCCCTACAATGGAATAAATTAATTAAAATTAACAGAATCTCTCATTTTATATGGAAGGATCCTTCTCTTTATGTGAAATTGAAGCCCAACAAAATCTTCCTGCTTTGAAACTCATGGAGTTATCCTATGGAGTATTATTTAACTGGGATGTTGTATTTAGTATTTACCGAAAAAATATGACAGCCAGCTTTTTTAGAGACTAATGCTATTTCAAGACATACAAAATTTTCCATAAAATGGATACAGCAACTAACTGAACTACTGTAATATGAATTGTGAGAATTTATTTTTGCTGGTATCGTTACCACATAGGCCATTGCACTTTCATATATCTATATATATACACACATATACGTTGACACAATTAATAAGAACTAAGATGTCCAACTATTTTCTCGATCTAATTAAGTCAAAGGTAGGTCTTCATTTATAAAATTAACTTTTTTCAGTTTTGGCAATGTATAACATGTTCAACAAAGTGAGAACTCTCTTATCAATTACCACACCGTGTATTTTAGCTCACTTGCAAGGGAGGAACGATTGCCGTGGTTTTATTTTAATATTTTTTGTTTCAAGTACGCTCCTTCTATGTAAGTTAGGAACGAAGAGAGAGAATAGAATTTGGACTTCCTTTGAGGCTTCAGAGTCGCGTCAAGGATTATTGTACCTTGGGCACTTACCAAACATACGCCTTTAAGTAGTCATACGTTGAAAAGTGAGATGGAAACTCCATTGATATAATTTCTTCTCTTTTTCCTACTCGTCTTTGTAATAAAGGCTTGTCATGCTACGGGGAAAATCTGACTAAAGTCATATGGTCATATCTTTTGAAAGATTCAAAGGATAGTAATTTACATATGAGGAGTGGGAAGGGGGGAAGAATTTGTAGAAATGCAGTAGATGTATCTATGAACCCGATTATTTTTAAGACATAAACAATTGTAATTCATTAATTAAGAGACTTTACGTTATACATATGAGAAATAAATGGTATACCATTTGTACAACATACTTTATAACATATTTATTAAAAAATTATTACTTTTAAATTTGAATTAAAAACAAGAAAATTAAAGGTTGCAGATTTTAATTAATGATTGAACCAGTAGATGTTGTAAGGTATATTAAATCGAATAGTATATCAATCATTGTCCAATACACATGCTAAATGTAAAATGCTAATTGAGTTTCATTATGATGCATATATATATATGTAGCTGGAAAATATGACATGATTAAGTTGGATCCCATTTTTGATTAACAAGTCAAAAGGATAATTAGTTTCTCATTCGGAGCTAGCTTGCCTTGGCCCTAAAGAATAAAGTCCTGTGTTTCCACAAGGATCACAACCATATTAACAACTTTACGGAGAAAGAGTCGCATAGAAAAGTCTCAGAAGCTTTATGAAGACAGCATGGAATGTCAATTTTCATAACAAAAACTTGATTTTGGGCCCCAAAAGAAACACCAAAACTTGATTAGATTCTAGCTAAATGAGAAAAAAATCTTCCCTTTTTGACCAATATATAAATGGGTATGAAACTAGAACGAAGAAAATCAACACACACCAAGTTTGAATTTTACTAAAATGGTTACCTAATTGTTGGAAAATTGTTAATATTTCTATGGTTAGATGGATTGTTTTTATGTGCTTGAAAATAGGAAACAATGAAATATGTTTGAGGAAAAAAAAAACTTTAACATATTTAATGAACAAAAATTTAATTGAATTGATATATTTATTCCCTGTAAGGCTATAACTGTGACAAAAAGAATGGCATGACCATGTAATTGGATGAAAAACATAAAGTTGTAGCCAGCCAATTCTTCCCCTATGAAAAAGTTAGAAATAATACTAGTTTGTATTGGTCATTAACTAATTTATTTGGTAATTCAATCGAGGATTAGGTTACAACGAACCATATAAGTCCATCATTCACATGGAAATTAAGAGTGTGGGGACATTATTTATTCGGCTAATTAGTAATTGATCTAAATTAATAAAAGAATTGAGAAAATAACAGGACGTTTTGTTTGTACTTTGTTTTCAATAATACAAGTTCAAAGTTATTTCTTTCGAGTCATTTCATAGCAACGAAGAAATTAAACAACCATCCAATGATCTGGAAAGAAGAATCCCAATCATTAGACATTACAATCTCTTCCCAAATTTCGTGCAAAAAAACTTATTTTAGATCTAAAAGGATAAGTTTCTGTTTGGATTGATTATTCAAATAAAGTTAGGCTATAATCACGTTTGAAGATTAATATTTGTTATCATTTATAATTTAAATATTTTTATTTCTCTAAGTAGCAACTAATACCTGATAATTCTTTTTCTAACAATTGAAATAAACAGGACTTAAGACTTTTTTCCCAATCATAATTTCATAATTTAAGAGTTTTAAATTTAAATCTTATAATCAAGTGTGAAGAGCAATTAAGACTAATTAAAAAATAACATAAATTGTTCAATATATTTTTTACTCTTAGTATAAAGTACTAATTAAAATGACCAAATAACCTCAGAGATTTAGATCCACTTGTTAAATAAATATTTTTTTTATTTTAATTGCACAATAAGAGATAATTATCTTCTATCCCTTATTTTACCTCACTTGTTAAATAAATATTGTTTTTATAAGTTAAATTCATGAGTTAAAGACTTGAGATAAACCTTTAAAAAAATTAATTTTTTTTTTTTTAATTTTGGTTGTATAATAAGAGGCAATTATCTCTCATCCCTTATTTCATCCCATCCACATATCATGCGATTCAAACTCAGAATCTCTTATTTTTAGCAAAAAAAAAATGATCATTTAATAATTTAAGTCGTTAGCAAATTAAATTTTTAAATATACTAAATATGAAATATACATTTAAAATCATACAAAAAGAAATTAATATTAAAATATTAATTTTAAAATCTATAAAAATTAATATAAAAACACTTTTACCATAAAAAAAAAAAGCCCAAGAAATTTTGCAGATGTCAATATCAAAGGAAGAAAAGTCAAAAAAGTTTTGGCCAACGGAAGATGTTAGTCTGCTTTATGTTTATTTAAATAAATTATCTCTTAGTAGATTCTGGTGCCTTGGAGGTTCCTTCCCAAAGTCATCTTTCTAAACAAATCTAGAAGGAAAACAAAATAGGTCCAGGAGCAGACTACATGCCATTGTGAATCAGATAAAGAAAGAAATAGGAAATATTGAAAAAAAATTCAACACAACACCTTAATATTTTGTTTTCTTTTGGAAAAAGAGAGGAGGGGAAACAGTATATCTCATAGACCCTAATAGGCATGGCGAGGGGCCCTGCAAGGTTGGAGAGTGCATCTCCATCTCCGTCTCTGCAATTAGTGCCTCCTGCTCTCGCGGGGATTTTTAATTGCGGAAAGAATTTACCTCATCTCCTTGTAAATTATTTTTATTTTATTATTTTAAAACAAATTGCTTTAAGAATTAGGTTGAGGTCAAAAAATGTGTTGAGTTGAATTTTAGTATTGAGTTAAAATTAAAAATAACTAACAATAGATATAACCTATGCTTATAAATTAAATACTTAAATTGGTAATATTTTTTTTTTCATTTCTTAATTTTTCATGGAAAACATGCATCTCCAAATCTCAAAGTAGAAAAAAATTCCCGCAGAATTTCACAAAATAAAAATGCTCCCCATCTTCTGGAGAAATTGCCACCCCTGACATCTAAGTTGCAAAAATAGAGCACACACTAACATTCCATTTCTGAAAGTGACACCCTCTCCAGCCAACTCCAGCAGAGAAGAGGAGCCCAATAATAAAGTATCTGTATAATTTGACACTTGGACATGGTTTACAGGTCATATTCAGAAATATAAAACATGAAGTTATTATACATTGAACACAGTAGACATCAGACGAACAGTTAATTAAGAAGATTAAAAATGGACCCGCGCAAGTGTGTATTCTTTTCCAGCTATCCAATGACCGCTGCACGCCCTCCTAGTCGAGATTCTCCTCTATTACCCTGTAAAGTCAAAACAAAATTGCCGTAAGGAGGGAACAAGAGACAAGCCAAGAAACAAAAAACCACAACCTGAAATGCTTCTTCTATGTTCTAACTAATAGATTCTATTGTTTTGCTGATTGCTCAGCTGCAATCCAGAAATTGAAGATCCATCTCTCCTTTTAATTTGCCCTTTAACGAATATCATACCTTATTATTATTATTATTTCAAATAACGAAGGAAGTAGCAAGAAGCAAAGTTCTGAAATGACTTACCTACCTCAACAAGTTCAAGTCGCAAGAAGATCCCAACAGAACACATGACTTTCTGTGGATGGGGCTTCTTACGGCAAGACCAACGGAAGACATCAATCCTAATGTTATCTGCTCTTTCTTTTCACCATTCATGGAATAGCAGTGGTAGTTTTGAGATTTCTCTGTCTCTGCTTCATTAGCTTGAGGTGCTGTTGTGGTTTTCCTCAGTTTCTCACCAGTAAAACAAAGCTCATACCTACAGATTTTTACAAGTTAGGAATAAAGAACACCTAAAAGTTGCCATGTATTAAAGTGATTTAAGTAATCAAACACTAAATTAAAGTTGCCTCTATTAACATAACCATTTACCATTTCAAAATTTATCCATTTTGCAAACAATAGCCCAAAAATGAAAACTTGCTATTAAAATTTGTTAGCTTTAGGAGGAGGCATCCTGATATTGCCCACATTATAGTCTTCAGAGGCTAAGGTAGCAAAGGGATGAAGTACATTGGTTGGTAAGTTCATTGAAGAGTACTTTTTCAATTGCCAGTTGTTCTAACAAGTTAAGAGCCAAGACTGCTCGGGTTGGCTGGCATAAATTGGCTTCGTCTGAAGATTGCATTCCAAGGCATATCTTATGTCTGGTTGTTAAGGGAAGGTTGAAAACAAAAACTTTCCTTGCTTTCGGAGGAGTCACATTAGATTTGCAGTGCCCTTTTTGGGGTGTTGAAGAAGAAAGCAGTGAACATCTTTGTCCTTCAGCTGCATCTTCTCAAGATACTTGCTGGATTGAACGTATATAGAGAAACAATGGCAGGGCAGAGAGAATGACAACGTAAACACGACACAGGTTTTGATTGGAAATCTCCGGGTAGAAAGAAGCTGACGGTGTAGACGTAACAGAGAGGTTCACATTCCTCATCATTCCATGCCTTTCAAGTTTCAACTGATTGGCAGCCTTGATTGCCTCTCAATCAGATCATTTGCTGTCATCCAGGAAAACTGAAGCATCACAGCCCTGATTAAGAAACCAAACATTAAGATGCAGATCATCATCAAAATCAAAAATAGAGCTACTAAACCATTCAGGATGAAATTCAAAAGACCCAATGAAAAGTTGATTGGCAGAATGACAATACTGATATCAAACCCTTTAACTATTAAGTAATAAACCAATGGCTATTAGTATAAGAGCACTGTCATAAGCCTCAATGCTGACAATGCTGCAACAAATTTGTAGAAACTCCAAATCAATCTTCCGAGAGGAACAGAATAAACGTCAACTGTTTACAAATTTGTAGAAATTAAAGAAAAGATTAAGAACTGAACCCCATATGAAGCAACTAACTTTTCAGATCAAAATTATATATGAACCAAAAATGGGAGTGAGAAATCAAGCAACTAATTTTGAAAACTGATGGGTATAGAGAATCTAATCTCGAGAATTATAAAACCTTATGGACATCTAGAATCAACAACTCATAATGACTGAATATGGCAAAAGTCACAATCTGGTTCAAGATATACTGGAGAAGGCGAAAATGCAAAAAACCCATTTGAGAAAATAACTCATAGAGGAAAAGGAAGAGACATGCCATCAATTTCACACAGTATCAAGAACCACCTATAAAACCAAAAACCCACAACGTAATTAACAAAGAATAAACGTAGCTGTACCTCGATGAAGCGGTCGTGGAAAAAGAGGCGCAAAAGAGCGGCCGGTACGTCTCCATGCTCCGAACGAATGTCAGCCATTGTCGACCCCACTATCTCCTCAGCTGATGGTCAGGTTTCGCGATAATAAGCGTATTAGAGGGTCGATAAGGGCGCATTTTTGCTGTCATCTTCGGAATCGTCCAAGAGAAAGTATAGGAATTCCTCCAAGACAAAATAAATCTTATGGGGTTTTCCTCTGCGTCTGGTTTCCTGGGGTCATCCACGTCAGAATGAAGGCGATCGCGAGCCCCACGACGGCCAACCCAATAGTCAGACTGCATTTCCATTCCCTTCTTTTGCTTACATTGTTCCGCTAAGGTGATTCTTGGGGAGAGGTGAAGGGAAGCAGGAAAGACAGCCGGTGCGAGTGTGCGGCAGTTGTTTTTCTTTTTGACGGACAAAATATCTAATATAGATAGGGAGTGAGAGGAAATTAAAATTGAAAAAAGAATTTTCTTAACCTATACTTATCTTTTAGGAATACGTTAATTTAAACTAATAATATGTTAATTTGAATAAAAAGAATTTGATTTTTTTTAAATAAAATTTTAAGAGTTTTTTTTTTATATTGTTTGATGTAACTCGATTTCGAATTAATCAAAATCCAATGAAATTATTGAATATCAAAAAATTAATATAAAAAAATAAGTTAATTAAATTTGAAATAAAAATTTATACAAAATTAATTACAAATATTATAATTAATAAGATTTAAGGAGATAAGTTAGATAAACTTTTAAAAAATGTATAATGATAGATGGAGATACAATAAGTGACTAAAAAAATAATTAGTGGGAGGATAATAGGAGAAAAAATTAATAACAAATGAATTATTAATATAAAAGGAGAAAATGAGAGCAAATATAAATATATTGATAAATATAATAATAAAATATGTGAGGGTTAACCAAGAGATGATGCTGTAAGAAAAATTAATGAAATGTGAAGTATATGGGAAAAAATACCAAAAGAATTATATATGCTAATGAGCTATTTTCTTGGATTTTGACTTAAAACTTTCATAATATAGGCATTCGAAAGAAATGAGGTATATTAGAGTAAAAAAGACATATTTAACAATAATAGTTATAAATGTAAAGATAAGAGAGAAATTATGAAGATTTAATAAACTATTCTATTATGTTTATCTTAAAAAAAATAAATTGATATGGAATTTAGATATTTATTTATAATAATTTAATTTGTATTTTTTTAATAATTTTTATATTTATAGAGTAAAAATTAATTTTAATCGTGAATCAATATTATTATATTCACTAAAAATGTGTAGTGTAATGTAAGCAAATTAGAGCCTAGTTAGAGTGAAAATCAAAAACTCCTAAAAATAAAAAAACTCATTTTTATTCATTTATTTTTGCTATGAACCATGAAGTTAATGAAACCTCAAATATTAAGAGTGTAATAAATGTATTTTTTATAATTAATTAATTTACATAAGAAATAATAAAAGTTAATTTTTATTTTATTATTATTATCACGTGGATAATTTTAATTAATCAATTGATTAAATTCAAATCAACTTTTGTTATTTTTGTATAAATTAATTATAAAAATATATATTTATTACATTTTTAACCTACACTTTATATTAAGATAGAAAAACCTTTTTTTGTGTAAACATAAAAAATTGAGGAAAGGGGGAGTATGTACGATAGAATTTGAATCATAATCATAGGCATGGATGTGTTGCACCCTAACCAATTTTGTCTAGTTGTGGATGCATGGTAGAGGTAGGCTTTGCTTTGTCATTTAATTCTCTCTCTTTTCAAGTTTTGTAGACAATATTGACATGGACTTATAACGAGCTTCCTTTCTCTTTCCTCCACCTTGATAATTAATTTTTATAATCATAGGCAAGGATGTGTTGCACCCTAACCAATTTTGTCTAGTTGTGGATGCATGGTAGAGGTAGGCTTTATTTCGTCATTTAATTCTCTCTCTTTTCAAGTTTTGTAGACAATATTTACATGGACTTATAACAAGCTTCCTTTCTCTTTCCTCCACCTTGATGATTAATTTTGAAGTCTTGTCTCCTTGCGTTACCTACAGAGAATGTTCAAAGAAGGATCTAAGCAAAAGCCATTTTAGATCTTATCTTTTTCGCTCGATTCTTTCCAATTTCAATAATTTTTCTTTCATAACCAGATTTAACAAGAATAAGGTATGTAGTATATACATGCCTCAGTAATCTTCTCTAAATCCTTTAATCTTTGTGAGAAATAAATATAAGTTTTAATTAACCAAATGAAAACATAAATTTAATTTATTATAATCATAAATTGATTATGAGTAGTATATAGTCATCTCAATGATAATTTTCTTTAATAAAGTAATAGATTTTATATTTAAATTGCATAATGCGTAAATGAAATAGTTAAAGATTTATAATTGTGGCTTTCCTGTATAATTTAAAATCATAAAAAAAATCATATAATAGTAAATAAAATAAAATAGTATGATAACTTCACCAGTGGCTCCTTCCCCTGGATCCAACCTGATTGGAATCAGATCAATTTCTACATTCTTAACCTATACTATAGTAAATAAATTGATAAACACAAACCAGTTTCAAATCCTGACGTTACCTATCTAACATTCCTTTTCTTTATGATAAATAAAATTATCAGAATGACTAATGTATATATGTTTTTTTTTTCTCTTGGATTGTCGACTAATGTACATGTAATTGTGGATTTTTAGGTTGATTTAAAAAAAAGCATAAAAATATCTATTAAATTAATTAAATACTCTTAATAAATTAATAAATTAAAAAATTTATTTAAAAT